TCTTTCTCTTGTCTACAACGATTTTTTTATCACTGGACCGATCTTCCACTCGTGTGTTATTCTTTCCCTCGTTTGCGTCGATCTTTCTCCGGTACGGGTAGATATTCCTGTTTCAATGTAGAGCTTCCTCTGTACTCTGTATGTACTCTGTATAAATGTTTCAAAAAACTCATTGATGAATTTGTTTTGCGAACGAAGAGTTTTGTTGTGAACGTTGAGAAAGTGTTTGTCACAATCACCAAACATTTGAGTTGAGACATTACCTATTGAAAAAATATAACTTTTATTGCGTCCTAACAAGAACATTTTTCAAGCGAAACCTGCAAGTACAACGAATTACGTATTTCTCTCGTTCCAGGAATGTTGTCTTGTGTCATCAAGAATATTGCGTAGTTCTTTGTCTACAAGCACGACTTATTCGAAGCTTTGAGTGGTTTTGGCTTTTATCGAGACAATAAAGAAGGAAAATTACTTGGAACATTCAAGGACTCGATGATGACGGGGTATTAACCTAAACAGTAGTCTCTGATGATGCTTTAGTGCTGCTGACCGTATTTTTCCACTCCAGAGAAAATGGATTTTGAACAAAACGTGTTTGTTTCATTTGGTTTAGCTTGTATTAAGAACTTCTTCAAAAACAACTTTTGTCTCTTCTGGAAAGAAAGATCAATCTCGGTAATCGAAAACAACTGACTACAATTCACATCTCATTTAGAATTTCGTTTGTAGTTCGATTACACTGAATGTGGGCATTCTCGACAAAGTTCTGCCTGGGAGTTTACGTGAAACAAAAACAAAATTGGACATGTTGCATAGGAATATCTACGGGCGTGTCATCTCGTCTGCGAAGGATGTTACATGCGTTGGCAGGACACTTTTATACACCGTGCAAGGACAACGTTGACAATAAATGTAATCCAAACAGTTGTGAGGGCGTACACATGAATGGAAAGAACGCAATAAAGAAAAAAACGATTTCACAAGGGTAAGGCAGTTTAATGTACGTATAGAGGATGTCTAGATCCAATTTTAGATTCAACATAAACAGTTTTGAAACAATTGAACAGAACTGGCCGATACTTGATAAAAATCCATATTAAAACTAATTCAACGAAAAGTTGAATATTGTGAGTTTACTAGAAGAGAATTCCGTCTGTACAAAATCTATTTAGGTCTTCCGTCTCCCCGGCTTTGCGGAAGCTTAAGGGTATCTGATTTAGGGCCGAAGGGGCCCGAACGCGTATAAAAAAGGGCCCAATAACGGGTCGGTTGGGAAATCTAAATCGAAAGTTTTTCCGATCCCCCGCCGATAGTGTGTTAACACGCCGTAAGTAAACAGAGCAAGACAACTGTTGACTCCCATTTGGAATTATGAGCTTAGTTTTTATTGCTGATTGAATTTTCCGAGAGGTGTGCTTCGAAAAGGGAGATTTTTTCTTTTCGAACGCTTCTCCTGTGTAGTTTTCATAACCACGGTTTTATTAGTTTGCTTTCTTATCTATTCATCGGTCGGTATACACTTTGCAAAGTACTGAACCGTTTTTTTAAATATAAATAGCTGGTGTTGTGCTATTTTAGGTTAGTTTTCCCATCAATCTCTACATTTGCATCCAAATGAATAGTCAAATGCAAACTATATATTTTTACTTTGGCCTCATGTTTTCACTTTCATACAAAAAAGTACGACAACGGGGCAAGTCTCAATGTGAAGTGGGTGACATGTGAATTCCATTCGAAACCAGAGAATCTAATTTCCCTGACCAATTTCTAAAACCTCGTATCTAGGTTGGGAGAACAAAAGGGTAACTTTCTATCGAGTTCACCTTCACGTTGAGATAAATTACCATTAAATGCGAATGATTGATAGAGGTCGACTGTTTTGTAGTTCACATGTGGTATGAATGTAGAATAAAGAAGAAGAAGAAGCTTCAACTCCATTCCCAATGTTTAACAATAGTAGTATTCTCAGCGAGATATTATAATGTTGTACATTAAATGTATCAACCTCTCTAGTAGTTCCATAAAACGTTAAGAAAACTGTTTGAGTGTGTTTCTGAAATTGGCAAGTCCTCAGATGTTCAGCAAATGAACTCCCTCCTACATCGCAGGAACTCAATTAAGAACTGAAACTGGAATTGTGTTTCGTCCGAGCAGCTAGACAATTTTACTATTTTATCTCTGATGTGTTCCGTGGCAAATGGGACAGAAAGTTACCTGTGTAATTTTCTAGTTTCACGCGCAATTGAAGCCGAGTTGGATTGGAGAAGTCTTGTTGATACGTTCTGAAAGAATACAAATAGAAAAATATCGTTTCACTTTTAAACGAAACAGATTACGCTTTGTAATCTCTGACGATCTTTGGTAAAAATTATCTATGCTAGTATATTCTGAAAGCTGATTCGATGAATTCTTGTTAAATTTTTCCTTAAATTTTTGAGTATATTTCTTTTCCTCCTCCGTCAACTAAAATTCTTTGAAAATTCAGGTTAGTTCGTTGGTATTTGAAACGACCATGTTCTGTAGTTTCTCCAGACAGTTGCAACTAGGCTCTCACGTTTTGGAGGAAAAATTGTAGACGTTATAGATATAACGAAAGATCTCATTTGATACGCGGATATTACCTCAATTTTTGTGTAGTACAGACGGACAAAACGTTAAACGCACGAAACAGTACAGAGCAATTTTGTGAATGGAAAAATCACAAATATGTAATATTACCTACATATCATTATCATTTGATTACTCGAAAAAACAAACAGCGACAAAAGTGTTAAAAGTTTTTCAAACACTCGAAATCGGTTAGTATGTCGAAGCCGGCGTGTCTAAGAAATTATTAATTCCAGAGAGCATCTCGTCGCTCGGTCTGAAGCTCATTAGCAGTTCAACTCTCGTTCAGAGATTATTAGAACGAGATTTTATGGACCCATTTCGAACAGAGGTGTTATTGAAGCATGGTTTACGACCGTAACGGGTTCGATTTGAATGTGTGCAGCGACGTAGCGGAGAAGTTTAATGTTTCATGATCAGCCGACAAACATCATACCTAATTAGCGAGGAAAAGCAAGTAACGAGATGGAGAATATGACCGTGTCGGGCAAACAATGCGAGAAAGGAAACTTTGACAGTTTATACAAGAGAATATTGTTACTGATACCATTTCACGACACACGAGTACATATTCCATCATCAAAACATACAAAAGCTAAACTCAACAAAATACCAAATGATGAAACGTCAAAATCAGAGCCACACGAGCCATTATGTCAATGTATATATTGCACACAAAATAAAAATTCCAATTAATCAGATCGTGAAGTCATCTAACTCAATGTAAATGAACTTGCTTCACGCCTAGTGGGATACTCTGTATATTTTTGCTACTTTCAGAGGCCGTCTGACTTATGAATTTCTTCTGAAGATCGAAAAAACACAATAGCCTCGTGGGTTTATTTTGTTTTCCTTCAATAGTCTCATGACAGCCACTTCAACAATCTTGTTGTCTGTTTTCTTTGTGCAGGTTTTTTGTTAGATGAAAAGGTGGATTTGAGGTATGCAGAGCATCAATGCTCATTACACAGAAAACATATATTGGCTATGGCTTCCATAACATGAGACTTGTTTACCCCCTAAAAAATTAGTCAAGTTCATTCATCAGTAGGCGAGTTGCAAAAGTTTTAACCTTCTTTTTTAATATTGAAGCCTGCACCATGCAAAGTATATTGATCGAGAATCGACCTCAAGATGATTCAATGCCTATACTTCGATATCGAACCTGGCCAACTGCTCCGTAAGAAAAGCAAAGACCATAAAAAAGAGAAGAAGAAGATATCGAACGTGTCTGCTTTCCAGAGCAGTATCAAAGTAAACCTGACATTACTACATACAATGTTCCATAATCGAATTCATATTTCAATGCTTTTTTTTTATCTGTCGTCGATCTTTTGTCTGGAAATGGAACGTGAGCCAATCCGACATCGGGGCCCCACAACAGTCACGACCATGCAAATCATTCTCGGGGGTGACAATAAAATCATTTTTCATTCGGCCACGATTTCCTCTGTTGGAAATACAAAAGGGCGCGTTTGTACCGATTAATTATCCCTCATTAATCTCTCATTCAATTCGGATTCGGGGTGTTGTATCGAACGAGATTTGCGCTATGATGAAAAATCTGTTTTCTGACGGTTTCGCTGATTCGATTGGAATGGGTTTTCGGGCCTGATTTTCCGCGGTTCGCATATGTCTCTGTACGTGACGGAAACTTCTCTTGCGGACCGAGCGTGTTTTAGAATCTTTCGAGTATTGATTGATTGTTGTTTCTTTCAGAGGCGGTGGAATTGCTTTTCGGCTGAAGTTGAATGAAAGGATAACAAAGTTTGTCCAAAATTATTATTTATTGAAGCTGACGATTCGTCCTTAAGTGTAGTTTTCCTGCCGAAAGGACATTAGAACGATGATTTTCACTATGAAAAGTTTATAAAACCGCAAGAATCTGCTTGATCTGAACGGACGTTAAAAAGTTCACATCGTTTTTGCTTCAATGTTTATAAATTCAAATCAGTTGCACAATGTAAATAATAGAATATTCATATTACTAATCATTTAATAAGAGCTTTGTTTGTCACATTTGGTAGAAATCTACTCAAACTTCAAATGATCCCTGTATATCTTTTCGATGAACTCCATACGTGGATATCTACGAGGTATATCGGCTCTGCCACCTAACGGAATAGTAGATCATACCTCAAAACCTAAATTTCAATTGGAAACCACCATTTAGTTTCATGACGATTCTCATCATTTTATTTGAACAGGATTACTCGTCATATAGTCTATCACTGAATCTGATCCAACTTGTAAACAACATCTATTCGTTCGTTCCAGATATAACCACCAACTTGTAAAATTCTCCGATATACGTAGCAACCATTTTCAAATAAGTGCGCGGTTGCGTCATCGCCCAACCTTCAATTCGATCATTCCAATCCGCATCTGCTCAGTTGGTTGCATACACTCCCGGTACGGGATCGAGCCAAGGCTGAATTCTGTCAACAGTGTCAACCTCATCTTGAATAAAAGTCTTTTTTTAATACCGCGTCGAATCGATATAATTCAGTATATTATAATTTTCCAAGCTTCGACTACATTGTAAGTACACAATTCATTTCGTGCCATGGTTTTAATAGTGATTACGATTAGTTTGTTTCGATCTTTCCGTTTGACAGCACTCCTAACCTAAAAATTTATTTACGTTTCAGGTGCCGAAATGGGCGACGAACCGGTCATAGCCACAAACGACGATGCCAGCGAGTGTAAAAGAGGGGCCGTCCAGCTAGGCTATTGGAGCGACGACTACATATCGTACTTCGTGAAACACACCGAAAAAAGGGCTCCAGAAATAAACAGAGGCTACTATGCCAGAGTGAAAGGCATCGAGAACTTCGTCCAAAAGTTCATCAATAAAGCGGGCAGCGCGGCACAAATCCTCAATTTCGGCTCGGGCTTCGACACCCTGTACTGGAGGCTGAAAGATGAGGGGGTGCAGATAGCGAACTACGTCGAAATAGACTTTCCCACTGTGACTGCGAGGAAGTGCTACATGATCAGACGCAACAAGCCCCTCTTGGAGAGAATCCACGATCAGGACGGGGAGGTTAAGCTGAGCCCCACTGACTTGCACGCAGGCAACTACCACTGCATCGGGGCTGACATACGAAACATCTCTCAGCTCGAGGTCAAACTACAGCAGGCCGAGGTTAGGTTCAACGTGCCTACTTTATTTATCGCGGAGTGCGTTCTGGTGTACATCGAGAATGAGTGCGTGAACAGGCTGCTGTCGTGGATCTCGTCGCGGTTCAGATCGGGACTGTTCGTCAACTACGAAATGTGCAACATGAACGATACTTTCAGTGACGTCATGCTGGGGAACCTACGAGCGAGGGGATGCAACTTAGCTGGCATTACGCACTGCAAGAGTCTGGAGATGCAGAAGACGAGGTTCCTAAACAATGGGTGGTCAGGGTCACGCAGCTGGGACATGGTGGAGGTGTACTACGCCATCAACAGTACCGAGAGGCATAGGATAGAGAAGATCGAGTTTCTAGACGAACAGGAGCTGTTGATTCAGCTGTTCCAGCACTACTGCATTTGTATTGGATGGCTCGGAACGGAGTTCTCCGAGTTGAATTGTACTGAGGATTAGTTTTATCAATTTTTTTTGTGGATTTGATTTCAAGAACCTGTGATACCAAAATGTATTTTAAACATGAAATAAATGTATCTTTGTTATGTGTGAGATTGAAATGTCTTTTTCTGATGTTGTAATACCATCTTTCTGACCAAATTTGAGAGTCTATTAAATACCATTTGTTTTGAAATTGTACTCTGATTTCTCACATGCAATGCAGTTTCTCTTTCTTTCCCAAAACCATCAAAATGTTGCAATGGATATTGCAATGTTACAATAGTTTTGAATTCTAATGAATTCAACAATAAATTAAAAAAATAAAGAGTTTCTATGAATATATACGAACACACTCAAGCAAACGACTCATTTTTGTTTTAGCAGCCAGAAAATAACTATAACTTAAAACACAATTCCAATTAACGAGTAATTGGAGAGAAATAAATTATAATAAGATGCATAAAATAGTATTTTGAAAATCTCATCTCTGTCTTTATCTTGTCTATTCACATTCGAATCAACTATAAATACTTGTCACAGTTGAGAGTGTAGTGAGTGAGTCGAAACAGCAACAATTCCATTACTTTTAAGTGTTGCAAGAAAGACTTTATTCATTATATTTGTACAAAGTGCTCCAATATTTTCCACAAGAGGTGTCTTCCTAGAGGAAGAAAGAATATTAACCTGCTAACACAAAATAAAGTAATCTGTTGCAGTGACGGGATGAATACTACAGATTCCTAATTAGAAACTAGCACGTTAGAAAAAACTATTCAGGAGCTAGAGGATGATGCTGAATTGAAAAACAAATTCATCCAAAAACTAAAAGCTGAAAATGAAAAATTTATTCAAGAGGCTTTAAAAATGGAAACAGATCTAAACAACTCGCTTGACTTTCACAAAAAGTTAGTAGCTGACCTCCAATTCGAAATAAATAAGCTTAACAAAAAATTGAATGAAGAAAAGGTGGCAAAAGAATCTTGTAGCACAAGAACATATAGTCTATCCATTCCCAATTGGAACGGCAATAAAAATAAGAGTACAGTCATAAACATTTCTTGCATGTGGCCCCTAGTCGCTCAGATAGTTAGTAAACCTGCTATCAAATGCAATTGTGGAATGAAGGCTCGGCTAGCTGGACTGGCTGAATACTAATTTTTTATCCGTTTCACAATATGTATTTATCAGTGCCGTGTGTTCGTGGGGTTAGGTGAGGTAATGAGTGGTTTTGCAAACCGATTTTTGAAAACTTTTTCTAGAGATTAATTACCCTAACACCAAACTGATAATTTTGCACTCGACGCGCGTTTCGCTAACAAGGTTAGCATCTTCAGGAGAAGCAAATTGATACTGAATCTAAAGACAAGGGTTAGCTGTTCATATACCTAAAGTTTTTTGGTCCGATGTGGACTTTGTTTGTTAAATGATGATTATCCTAATTGATTTTTCGGTAATTAACTAGCGGAACCACTATCTGCAAATTAATTTGTCAACAATAGATTAAAATCCGGACAAATTGCAAGGTTCCAACTAACCATGTATACCAGTGAGGATGACAGTGTTCCATGTAAGTGCAATTCGTTACCATTCATTTAAAGTAGAACTCAAGTGAATGATATCTGTTTTTTATTCCACCACGAATGTTTGAAATACAAACTGAGCAGAGAAAAAAGTATCTTCTGTATAATTCAGTGTTCATATAGAGGTATTTGTTTCAAAAGAATTTTTTCTTTAGTGTAATTCAATGTTTATATGAAAGTAGCTGTTTCAGGAGGACTTTCTTTCAGTTTGTGTAGTGTAGTGGAGTAGTAGAAAGCCAAAAACTTTCTTTCCCAAAAATGTTATTTATATTTCGCACAAGGCTTTGTCAATAAGAATTTATTCTTCAGACAATGAAGAATATTTGAATTTAATTGAAAATTCTGTTTGAAAATCATAAATCAATAATTACTCTCCAATTTTCTAATGCTGATAAATTGAGTGGATGACGAATATTAATACAAAAGCCATCCTCTCTCCTGAGATCTATATTGAGTGCACAAATCCTCAAACAGGTAATCTGCCTTGTTTTGTCTGTTATAATATTCATAATAGGAACTCCAAATGAGTTTACCATACTCTAACAGAGACCCCACCGAAGAACAGTATAAAAAACTTGATATTCATCACCCTTGCTTATTCAGACTCGTCCTTTAAGGATAGTTGAGTCCAGCAACGCATTTATGGTCCAGCCTAGCACCACTGATGAGACCTGATGGGTCAAAAAGGCGCTATCTGGCGTTGGAAAACAAATGCATTGTGTTTGGGCTCTGTATTTGAAACAGTTCCCTTGCTGTGAAAAATAGAGACGAATCTCGACGGCGCGGCGGTTAGTGTTGACACTTGGCTTTGCGAATGACCGCCTTGGGGAGCCTCATTTATCGAAGGTGGAGTTCTCTGTTGATGCGATAGATGGTGACTTCATAAGGGGAGAAGTCAAGTAGTATGTGTCTTAAACTGAGTTTCTTATCAAATAAAATTCTTTCACATCTGATGTTTTATTCAAATGAATATTAATGTAGTAGATATTGATAAGTGGATGTATTATTCTGAAAAATACTAGAGCAGTGAGATTTGACTACCTCCATTGAGGTCCATGAATAATTCATCAAATGTAGAAAGAAATATCTGGTTTCAGGATTCAGATGACTTTTTTTCTAATTTGTAGCTGAAATATTTATTTCCCTAATTTGAAAGGAGTATATTATCTCTCAAAAAATCATATCTGTTGTTACATAGCAGCTATACTATCAAAATGAACTTATGTTGATAACCAAAACATTCCTCTGATGTTTTATTGATATTTGTCATCGTAAAGTCATTGTGATTCAAACTATTCAAACTGTGCATTGTTGTTTGAATAAAACTGTGCCCTTGTTTGAATAATAAACTGTGTATAGTAGTTGGAAATTAAAACCTACTTATGTACTTCTGACAAACCTAACCCTTTTCTAGACATAAATTGCTTAGGACCTTTTTCTTTAACAAAGAAATGAGGTCTGAATGGAATATTACCCTCAGGAAACTTTTTAGCCAGAACTCACTAAAAATTGGTGTGTGCTTAGATGGCAGTGGATAATGTCATAATAAATAATAAATAATAAGATAAATAATAAGATCCACATTGTAACATATTCATTAGTTATATATTGAGGCGTATCGTTCACATATAACAAAACACTAAGGGTCCGGTAACAGATCCGTGAGGTACACCAAGTTTCACATCAAAATAATGGGAAAATCATCATATGAAACGGTCATAGCAATCAAATACCAAGGAGGGAATGTTACTATCGGCCTGCTTGTATTTGTACCCAAGCAATCGATGATTTCATATTGCCGGAGAAAACAAAAGGAGAATCACACAAAAGGATGATTGAGAAACCGACTCATGAAACAGTTGGGGAGACTGAAAATTGATTTGAATGGAGCACACGTAATCTTACTCCATCGTATATTTCCTCCGTACCACGTACAAAGATCCGCAAGGAAATCCCATTAATAAATCAGCATGCAAATGCCAATTGATTAAAGTGAAATAAGCATTTGATGGAGGCTAATGAATTTTCCCTCGGATGACAAGTCCTTTGATGCGGAAAGAAGGAATAATGAATCTCATCAGTTTGCCAACAATCCTTGTTGGTGTGCTGTGAAATAATCGGGAAGACTTGGGTACAGCTGGCAAGGAATTTGTAGTTTTTCAAGCAAAGAAATAGATTAAAAGTTGGCACTCTAAAACGTTAGAAGGGCACGAGTTCGATTTAAGAGATTATGAGGTATCAGAGTTTTTTTACCTTAGTCAAAGCGAATGATTGGATATTGGATACACACATATAATTTTTGTGGAGGATTTTTTTCTTTCAACAATATAAAATAGATTGAAAACCTCTTCATACAAGAAAATGTAAGAATCTTCCAGATCCAGATATATGAATGTTTTTTGAGAATTTTGATTTTGAGAATTGTTTGTCCCTGATGTAATCTTATAAATGTTTGTGTCTCAAAGAATCTGTTGTTATTGTTACATAATTAGTAATGAAAAATTGTAAAAATAATAATTTCCAACAGAAACATTTAATTCCCCATATTATTCCTCGTGAGGTCCAGGGATATGCAATTAGGTCGCTTTTTTTTCTTAAAAACTAAGCAAGATACGAAAAAAATTCAGGAGACAAAAAAGTTGTATTTCTAATTGCTTAATCCAAAGAAATAATGAAAATTGCACAAAAGTCAGTGTCGTACATTTTTAAGTCAAAAATATTCGTTCAAATCTCGCTCGAGACGCCACTGGACTCAATAAATTGAATCACGTCCGGGCTAAATTAGCTCCTTAATGTTATAAATAGGTACCATTGCCAAATTATAACAAAATCAGGTAAAGAATATTTAAGATATTGACCAATAACTTTTTTTCAATTTTTATTTTAACACCCTGTATCTTGAGAACGAAGGATTTGCGGACCCATGTTTATATAACTTTTTCGTCCTAAAATTACCTAAAGAATCGTCTGTTAAATTTATGGTAAATACTTAATTAACAACCTGTGCATTGGATTCTTGGTTGATATACAATAAAAAGAGGGTTGGACACAGTATGGATCCCTGGGGAACACCAGCGTTGATGGTAAAAGTATACAAGAGATATCCAACGACGGCCACTTGCAAAGAACGTTCTTCCAGGAAGCTGGAAAGTCATACACAAAAATGATCCGACAAACCATTTATTACAATTACTTTTTCTTTTCCGTTGTCGACTTACAGTTCGTTAAACTTCTTTATTGAAATTAGAATTTATGAATAGAAATTATAAATAAATCGATAGTCTCTTCTCAAAAAACGCTTTCACTATATTTAAATAACAAATTTGTTCAACCGAAGTATAGTTCATCCAAATCAATAATTTTTCTTCCACAATCCACCATTATATCGCTCGGCTAAGCCGAAAACAATGACATGAGTTGTTAGTTTTCGGGTTGAATTTAACTTAACGAGACCCCTCAGAGCAGAAGTCCCTTTACGGTGGTTCCACCGTCTATTTGCATGTATGGAAATGTATGGAACGGCCGGAATACGACACATCGGGAAAACCGCAGCGGTTCTGGAAGGATCGTGAATCGTGAATAAACATTGATTGAGATTATGGTTATTAGTTCGTTGGCATGGAGATCAACTTTGAGCACTAATATTCGAAGTCGTAGTTTTCAGATTCCATACAGTGTGTAACAACGAAAACTTAACAGAGCCGTTTTTTAATATAAAAAGTAAGATTTTAAAAAAAGCTCGGACACGTCGATTTCTAATTCAAGGGGGACACCTTTCAGACTAATCAGATTTTTTGTAGTATGCACCCTCTCGGAGGGGTGCGTCCGACGACCCTTATTTAGATAGGGAAAGTAGGTCAAGTAGCACCTTGTTTTAAAGGTATTTTGAATACCTTTATAACTCTGTTGAAAGAAAATTTTTGTAACGATTAGTTTTAGAGATAATTTGAAGTTAAAATTGCCATGTTAATAATACATTAGACAGACCACTCGGTAACTTGTATGCCTAAATAACAAAAATTTCGAGCAGTTCTTCTTATCAGTTTTTTGTTAAATAAAATCCCTTTTTTAAAATCAATATCCCCTCCTCTTCTTCCAGTTTTCATTAGTACATCGTTTGATTGTTTGGTTTAAACGTGTATTGTTATTTGTTTAAAAATGCCTTACATTACTGCTGAAAGAGTTTCAGTTATTGCTTTATTTTTTGGCAAGACCAAAATGTTGATAGAATATCAATTTTATTTAACGAGCAAAACCCTGGTAAAAACCTAATCAGAAATCACGTTCTAGATTTGGTCACAAAATTCAGGGAGACAGGTTCAGTTTTGAATAAGAAAAGAAATGTTCAGAGAAGGGTAGTGAATGACGATAATGCGATTGGAGTGATTGGTTAAGTCATCGCCAATCCTAGGTTAAGTACCAGAGGTTTATCAGCAATGGCCGGAATAAGCCATATGAGCGCATGGAGAATCCTTAAAAACCACAAATTCCATCCTTACAAAATTAAACTTGTTCATGAACTCAATGAGGATGATTTTGACCGAAGACAGGAGTTTTGTGGGGGCATGAGTGAGAGATCAATGCAAAATCCCGAGCTGCTTTATAACATCTGTTTTTCGGACGAAAGCTCAATTTATTTAAATGGTTGCGTGAACCGTCACAATTGCCGTTATTGGTCGGATGAAAACCCAAGACAATAACGCAGAAATACATACCCAACATCCCCAAAAGTTGAATGTCTGGACCGAAATATTAGGCAACCATATTATAGGTCCATTTTTCATTGATGGAAATTTAACCGGTGATTCTTATTTACAAATTCTTGAAGAGGCAATACAACCTCGTATAGTTGAAATAATTGAACAGGATCCAAGATGTCAAGATGAATTTATCCATTTTCAAAAAGACGGTGCACCACCCTATTATGCCCAGCAGTTTCGAAATTTTTTGAATAATTATTTTGAAGGACAATGGATTGGCAGGAGAGGTCCAATTGAATGGCCAGCATGATCACCAGATTTAACACCACTGGACTACTTTTCGTGGGGATATTTGAAGTCTAAAGTTTATGCTACACAGCCAGCCAATTTGGATGAATTACGTCGTAGAATTATTGATGAATGCCGAGCTATAACTCCTGAGATGTTGAATAATGTAAGAGCAGAATTCGAACAAAATCTTTATTGTTGCATGGAGCAAAATGGCGCACATTTTGAACATTTACTCTAAATTTCCTATGTGAGTTACCCTTATTAGGTGTTACTTTTTTTGTGTGTGCTTTAAAAACAATTATCGGGATTTATTAACTCTAAAACAGTTTTTTAAATTTTTCTGTGTCATCAGCATTCAAGGAAATCAGCAGGTTGTATTCGTTGTGTAGGTAAGTTTTTAGTATGATTCACTTTTTTATCAGAAGCATAAAATATCCACATCAAAAGGCAACCTTTATAAGGAGGTGCCACTCAATTTACCTAAAATGTAAGAGAGGTAACCAACCCCAACCCCCGAAAAAATCTTCTCGTAATATACAAATAATTCTTACTTTTTTATGAAATCAAATGGACACGTATTAGCAGATTGCCATAAAAAGCAAAAACTTTTTTTTATGAAAGTTCTGAACGTAATTGCACCTTAAAAACAATTTGATTTATTTTAAAAAGAGTTGAACTCAATAAAAATACCTTTAAATCTTCAAATTATCCCGAAAACTAATCGTTACAAAAATTTTCTTTTAACAGAGATGTAAAGGTATTCGAAAGACCTTTAAAACAAGGTGCCACTCGACCTACTTTTCCTATCTGAATAAGGGTCGTCGGACGCACCCCTCCGAGGGGGTGCGTACTACAAAAAATCTGATTAGTCTGAAAGGGGTCACCCTTTAATTAGAAATCGACGTGTACGAGCTTTTTTTCAAATTTTTACTTTTTATATTAAAAAACGGCTCTGTTAGATTGAAAAATTGATGAGAACTATATTTCATTATCATCATTTCACAATTTGACAAGTTGAATATGTGAAACATGTTTCTGGTTAGTATAATCCTCTTAGTTTGACCAACGTTTTGACTGGATCATCATTGTTTATTTCGAAAATCACAGACCATTTTTCGCTCATCCACTTATTATCGTTGTAAACGATAAACCTGGAAATCCTCTCCAAATCTGAGTTCAGTTCGGAATTCGCTGCCGTAATCACTTCATTTGCAAGTTATGAATTTTCAATATGGGAAGATTTTTACGAAGAACTCGTTTTCCAGATAAAAAGACTGCATTATGGTGAGAAATTTAATCAAAGTGAAATAAAAGGCTGGCTTATCCTTTGGAAATTTATTAGGAAAGTTTCTGTATTAAAATTCAATTAAAATGCGGCCGCTTAGGTACTGGATTAATTAAAGCAGTTAGAACAGGTTGGTGCTTTGGGAAAATAACTTGTAAACAGTACTGTGTACTGTCACAAAGAAGTGAGATATTTCCTAGATATACTTTTGCATAGATAACAAACAAAAGTTAAGGCCGTAGATAAAGGATTTATTCAAAAATTGAATTCCACTTGATTGATGTATAATTCTCCCCACCCAGTCTTTGACGAACTATAAAATTGGTGTGAACATCATTCACCTCATTCAGTAACGTTGAAACGGAAAGTTCGTAGGTTAACATGAAACATTTATTTTTGATAAAATTTGATAAAATAGACCTGGCTTCAACAGTATTTTTTTTGCCAAAAAGCAATGATTTATCAACACACGAAATCCTTTTTATCCATTCTCTCCAAACTAACAAAAGTTGCTTCATTCAAAACGTTCTATCTTACAAACTAATAGTCCGTTAGCTGTGAAATTTGTGTCTTTCGAAGATTAGGGTCTACTAAAAATAATATGGATTTGATACTACGAAGCTACGAAACTTTTAGCTGATAGTATATAAGATAGAATATAAGAGCTGATTTGAAATAGTATAAATATCATACAATATAAAATTAATTATTGCTCTTTTTTTTATATTGAAATGATAAATAAATTATATTCATACTCACTTTATAACACGGTAAGCGTATAATTGATGTCTCACCTTGATATCTGAAACAAACATAAAAAGTGCGTCAGAAAAAGATAAAACATCAGTTACGAAACAAAAACACTGAATTCAACATCTGAAGAGATTACTATACTTTTTCCATGACCTATAACAGGTATATTTTACAAGTATGACCGTAGTAAATTTCTAAAAAAGGAATCATGTGAAATGCATTGCGAAATATTTCCTATTTTTGTTATTTCAATCAATTACAAATAGTTTGGTGATTGTGTAGAAAAACAAAACTGTCAGAGATGTGAGTTGAGCTGCAATGGAACACAGAACATCTAATGAGCGATAATCTTTGGAAAAATATTAATTTTTTTCTTCACAAACAAATTTCTCGTTCTTACATTCCAAGTCCATATTTTTATTCTTATTTTTTGTTAGAAACTATGTATTTATATGATTAAGTTGTACCATGGATGTGAATGTTATTTTTTTGAATACCTACATCTAGGTTATACCTACACACTAGGTTTAATGGACTGACGCCTATCAGAAAACAACTACTCCCCTGGCTAATACCACGAACGGCGTTGGATTATATCCGACAGGCGTCAGTGCAGGAATCTTCACAGAAAAATTCCTGCATATGCAATTGGCAATGCAACTGAAAGAGTCGACCCTCAATTTTGGAACGGGCACACTTGCAGACCGGTTTCGGGCTCATTAGCCACTCATCAGTACAAGATAGTGACCATCATCGACCTAAAGTCATATGCAGTTGGAAATGCGGTTAGTTAGTACCTAGTCCACTAGATGGAGTGAACTTTTGTTGTTCGCTCCAACTTAGAAAGAGGAATGAAATACTCTGAAAGAATTCCGATTTTCGATCATGGAATATCATTGAAATGGGAAATAGTAACTAGAAATGTTAATTTTACTTGCTGATTCAATCAACTTTCCACCAATAGTTCCTGTTATGAATTTTGCCCATATGTTTCAAAATGAATATACGTATATCGCGACTTTGATAATCACTAATAATTGACAATTCAAGCAAACTGCTGCTGTGGAACCAGCAGTCATCAAATTTGTAAATTTATATGGCAAAATAATGCGCAAAATCAACAAATTCTCTGACTAAATGACTCTAAATTGTTGAATCACAATTTTGTAATTCCATAAAACAGAAAGTAGAATCAATTGGGTTTATCCTGATTTTCTAACAACAAAAAGTTCACATGTATCTTTCCACAGTATTTCTTAGAAAAAAATATTTCCTGAATTGACGCCTTTATTTTATGTATTGCTATCATAAATATGAGTAACTCAGATGTTTATCAGGCTTCTCCTCTGCTCGCCCTATACCATTTACTCATGGCAACTGTGATGAAGCAATAACGTCGTGTGGGAGGAACACATTTTGGCCGACTATCTGATCATACAATGAATATAATGCACTTTGTTGTTGGAAACTGGCTCTTCGTGTGGCTGCTCTAGATAACGAATAATAGGCGCTGGACTCGCTGTGGGAATGTTGGAATTGGATTTTTTTACAAAATTTATCAGGATATAAAAGTTTAATAATGGTTTTGTAAGATACCCTCAGACGTACTGGATTTTTATAGCTAATTCATGATCTTTCATTTTATCTGAGCTTACTTTGGAAGAACTGCTATAGTTTTCATACACTTTTGACACTTAATCATACTATTCAGATAGTAACTATTTGAATTCCTTTTCCATTTCTATTTTGACATCTATTTTGAGGAAATAAATAAACCCATTTGTTGTATATTCAATAATCTACACTGTATTTAAATTGAAAGCGTTACTTATTTTCAAATTGATTACTTCCTTCCTTTCTTTGGAAGATTCTCTCATCCATCAGATGGAGTAGTAGAAAGCCAAAAACTTTCTTTCTACACTGTATATACTGATCATATCGAAATTATTTATATTACACATATTAGAAATACTGATTTCGTTCAGAACAATATCGGAAAATAAATTATTCAGTAAAATACACTAACCATCAATAATACACCTTATTTTTGATAACGATATATTCATTTTCAATCACTCTAGAATTGAAAAATCAATATAGAGGAATCAAATAAGCATTATAGGAAGGGAAAGGATAGTATATATTATATCATCATTATTATTTCCCACTTATTTTGTTGAAATTGAAAACATATTTGTGAAAATTTGCTAAATAATATCTAATGGTAGGAAATGTATTATTCCGTTGAAAATGCACCTTTTGTGGGGTAAATACTGAAGTTAACGAAAATCAATAAATTCATTGGTTTCAATAATCCCTTGTTTTCATTCCCCCAAAGAAGCGAAGTTAAGTTTGTTCAGTTCGTTCGCTAATTATTCAAAACGAAAAAATATTATTATCCATTCTAGAATTCAGAGTAACTGCTACTCTGAATTCTACTAACTTGTGGCACTTTGTTTTGTGAACCACTGATTCAGGATGAGCCTTAAAGAATCTAAAAGTGTTAAATAAGAGACAATCAATGGTTTCTATCTGATTCTTTCAAGAAATCTATAAGTATTTTGCAAAATTTTGTTCACATTCTCGATCAATTCAATTCCAAATTAGGTCCACTAATAACATGTTGAAAAATACTACCCCATTTGAATATTTGGAGATAATATATTTTTCTTCAATTTATTTGAATCTTCAGGTTGGTCAACAGCATTTTTTTTTGATACCTTCACAACGCTTACAAACCGAAATCATGGAATTTTTTATAAGCTGAATCTTAGAGAAAGAACTAGCCCAAAAAATTATTTGATCTTAGGGAAATCTGCCATTTCGAATGAAAAATAATAAAAAACATTCGATTAAATTAAGTACTGAGAAATTTCATATGTAAAATTTCCATGTCTTCACTGAAGTTTGAGGAAAAAATTTAAATGATGTAATAATCTCCAAACCATAGTTGTTCATTTTGAAACACATGTGGTGTAATTGTATAACGTATATTAATAAATCGTCCTTAGACATTTCTGAGTATACTGGAGTGCGATACATTTCTTTACTCAAGAATGTTTGTTGCTACAAACATTCTAGAGAATACAAGTCAGGTGATAGAGAAGGCTACTCAATTACATTTTTCGTCTTACGCAGCGACCTTGAAATCTGTCGTTTAAATGACTCATTTCCTTTTTTGAATACTGTGGAGGGGTTACATTTTGCTGCGACATCATTTTCTTTTGAATCCATGCAGTATAATTGTATATGATTTCAGTGAGAAATGGGTCGATAGACTTTAGAAAAATGTGGTAATTTCGGAAAATTTCCCTATGAATTAATTTCTCTTCTTGGAAAATCAACAGGCTGATCCTTTGCTCCAGTGTAACATTCTGTACGACTCCAAATTAGAGAACAAAAGTAATATTTGAAGAGTTTGCCGTGCAATATTAATGCGGCCTAATGAATGGAAAGGGCGAACTAAGTGCCCTTTGGTATCTACACTTTTTTACAGCGAGGAATTATTTATTAGTCTCTCGCGAGAGGCTGCACGTTCGGATGTCAAGCGAGGAAAGTATTGCTTTCCACCACTGAGTAATTGCCGTGGGGAAGAGTTGACCTAGAGGAAGTTTCATCTACGCCAGTTGAAGTAGTTTCCAAACAGTGTGAAAACTGGAGGAATATCATCTTCTGTCCAAGTTTTGATGATAAAAGTAAGTTGCAAGGTTCAGAATATGAGCCAATAATAAATTGGTGAATGCGCCACAACAATTTATAATCTTTTTGGAACGTAGATTGCAGTTTTATTTGAAGAGGGAGCTGACTCACAGGGTGGTTATAGGAAAATAACTCATCCCTTATCTCATCTTTTGTGATCGTGGATATACGAAAAATCTAACAGAAAACAACAATGTAGATATTACCAAAATTTCATTTTTCAATTTTTACCGGAGTCGCCAAATTGGTGAAGGCACGTAACAATTTATGCTCTTTTTGGAACGTAGATTGTAGTTTGATTTAAAGAGGGAGCTGTGATTCACAGGGTGGCTATAGTAAAATAACTCATCATATGTGGTCGTGAATATTTGAAAAATAAATGATACCGTGACTTATTATTTTCAGCAGTAATTTTGGTCTTCCAATCGTTCCTCTCACAAAATCTCATCCCAAAATCTCTCGATTTTCAAATTGATTTAATATAAGGATAGCATTTCGAAACTCTTTTAAATATTTCTTATTGAGAAAACTTTTTTCCCACACCAGCGTTTTGCTAACTGAGTCAGCATCATCAGGAAATGACTAGGACCGTTTCTCTCATTACTCATATAAAAAGAGGGGACCTTTGTCGAGAGATGCTGCTATCTGATGAAAATGCTTTTTACAAAATGTTATAGGCGTTGCTATTGCTGATAATAAACTTTTGAAACAATCTAGCGATCTAGCTAGATTGTTTCAAAAGTAACCGGCGCTCGAATCGACCATCGTCTTGGTCGGTGGTTCAAGCCCCAGGCTGAACAATTTTCACTTGCTATCGTCTAACCTGTGTTGGAAATCATACGTTAAAAGTTTAGACTTCTGAGGGTTGTCGTTCGTAGAAGTGCGACAGCTGGTTAACGTAAAAACAGTATTTTTAAACAGATCTTCCAGCATACTTAGAATTGCTGCGTTTTGCAGTGATCCTTTTGCTACAGTCACATCTAGTTTACCATTGAGACCAGTTTGCCTTCGAACTTCTGATTTTTCCTACCAAGATTTTGGGATGTGAGTCAGTCTGTCACATTCATGGGTATTGCTTAACAACTTCGAAACTATCAAACCAATTTCTATTGAACTTGAACTGTTTTCTAAGCCGAAAGTGAATGTGACAATCTGACTAATAAAATTTAGAAAAAATGCGTAGACATACATACACACGTATACACATAACCTCCTGTTGATAGCATATAAGCAATGTTCTGAATAGGAGCACAGTCCAACATTGAACAGATAAAGAAAATGAAAGAGCACACAAATACTCAGTAAACTAAAGAATATGTAGTTGTGAAGATAAATAAAATAGACCTAAAA